GGAAGGCTTTATAAACCAGCATTCATGCTAATGATAGAGAAGGCATTTAGGAAGACAAAGACAAGATGAGATGAAAACAAGAGAACAAGAATGGTTTGACAGAGGGCAGTCACTAAGGTTTCAGCATTTGCAATTTGACTGGGGTTAAGTGGACGGAGGGGAAAGTGTAGACTTGGAATAGAGAAAGCCACAGAGAATAAACAGTCAGACATTACAATTCAAGAAAAATAATTCAATTATTCTGTGTCAATTAAAAACAAAATATTTTATGTAAAAAAAGTTTTTAAATAAAGAAGTCATAGTCATAGATGACAGAGAAGATTTGTATATATACTGCAACTGAGTTCTGTAAGTCAATACCATTCGAATAAATTAGTGTAATAGCACAAATAGGATTTTTCGAACTTTTTACACAAATGATTCAAATAGCTTACACAAATCACTGCCCTTATCATCTTAAAAATATGCTTTTAAAGGGCCCCCTTACAAGACCACTGACTATAAGAATAAAAGGTTTGCAATATATAAATAGAAGGCAATGGAGAGGAGAGGAGAAAAAAGGAGAGCAGGAAGAGGAGAAGGAGGAGAAGGGAGATGAGGAGAGAGGAGGAGGAAGAAGAAAAGAAGAGGAAAGAGAAGAAGAAGGAAGGAGAAGAGGAGTCCATGTGACGCTGCAAATTCAAGGAAGAAAACTTGGCAGAAGAAAAGAGGAAGGCAAAGGGAAGAAAAGCAAGACAAAGCCTTTTCAGTTGCAGTATCCTTGAAGAAATAAGTCGGCCTCCTCACCTGTCTCAGAGCTGCCTTTGTAAGTGTAGCTGTGTGAGTAGTACCTCTTCCACTGACCACAACTGCCACTCAGATTATCTGCACTTGTGACTTTCTTTCTGATGTAGACGTTTGAAACCTGTTTTGCTTTCTCCCTTCATGTTTTCTTCATACACATAGTGTCTTATTGCATCCGAGACTCTCAAGGTTCTGTTTATTCTCCTCCATTGGATGACAGACCCTTTGGGGTACCTTACAGAGTCTCCCAAAGTGAATTTTGTAAATGTTACACAGCTTATATTTTAATTCACAATTCAGAACATCCCAAACATGTTCTCCATGTCTGGAGAAAAAACATTGAATGCTTTCATGTAAGGGGAAAAAGGCACAAGATAGCAATTTTTTTCTGACATAGAATTTTCTACCATATATTTTTCTGACGTAGAGCAACTAGAGCAAATGGTGGCCTAACAATTGTAAAGGGCTTAATGGTTCATGGAACAGTTCCAGGAATATAATTTTATTTCATCCCTCAAGTCTACATTCTTCCCAACCCTTCGACAGCCCCAACTCCCAACCCAAGCTTGAAACACTTTAATGAGTTTTTATTCCTCTTGGTATAAAACAACAAATTCTTTGTCATGCCATCTAATCTCTATCTCTTACTTTGTCTTGCATCACCCTGCCCCATTGACCCCTGCACTCCAGCCACACACACCTTTTATCAGTTCTTCAAATGCTTCCCCATTTGTGTTAAATGTTCTTTTCCAATCCCCCCATTTTTCCAGTTAATTCCTACTCCAGTTTCCAGCTCCCATTGTTGTCACTTCCTCAGGGAAACCTTTCCCAATCTCTCAGACAAGGTCAAATTCCTTTAAGATAGTTCTACACATCTGCCTTTCTTAGCACTGAGCCCAATTATAATTTTACATGTATTGTATGCCTATCTGTATGACTGCTGTCTCCTTCAGTAGACTGAAGTCCTATAAGGGCAGCAACTCCATGTGCATTTGTTCATCAGTGTATCCCATAATAATTTCTGTGTGGAGAGAAGATATGATAGCCACATTTGAAAATATGGCACTGAGTCTCAGAGAGTTTAAGGGATTCATTCCAGTAGTACAAATATGGGTACTAGATTCCAAGGTACTGGATTCCTGATTTCAAGGCCAGGGAATACATCATTCCAAGGAGGTACTACATGGCTCATAGTAGGTCCCTAGTACAGATTTGCTGAATGAAAAACTGAAAACAAAAATGAAAGTAAGAAGGAATGAATTATGAACTCGAATATGGTTTTCATTGTGAAGAAGATAATCGTGGCTGTGATGCTGGGCAGGTCACATCACCTTTCTAGGCCCTTACTCCTCTGCTGAAGGTTGAACTAGGTCATCTCCATGTTCTGTGATTCTGAGTTGCTGTGCTTCCAAACTCCTCTCACCTTGGGATTCTGTCTAACAGCAGGCACCTACATGTGGTGGGTGAGTTACTTAGCAGCCCAGATTTGACTTTATATTTTGGATCATTTTTAACGTGTTCAAAGAGCAATTACACTATGAAACAAGAGGCAATTGCAGGAGCAATTACATCAAAGATAACATACGGCAGCTACAGAAACAATGGAAAGTTATTGCAGGGTGTTAAGCACAACAGATGGAAAAGCTTTGCTATAACCTTGACAGTTGACCGAAGAACTTCCAGATACATGCTATAATTGTATGTAGGGAAGCAAAGAACATCTGGCCAAAAGAATAGTATTTTTGAATTTTCTGTTCCAGTTATTAAATGATTCAAAAACTGACCAAGTGCAGTAGCTCACACCTGTAATCCAAGCACTTTGGAAGGCCGAGGTGGAAGATGACTTGAGGTCAGGAGTTTGAGATCAGTCTGGGCAACAAGCAAGACCCCATTTCTACAAAAAATAAAAAAATAAAAAATAAAAAATAGCTAGGTGTGGTGGTGAGCGCCTGTAGTCCCAGTTACTAAGCAGGCTGAGGTAGGAGGATCACTTGAGCCTAGGAATTTGAGGCTGCAGTGAGCTATGATCACACCATTGCTCTCCAGCCTAGGCAACAGAGCAAGAGCTTGTCTCAGGGAAAAAAAGAAAAAAAAAAGGTTCAAACGCTACTAAAAGGGAATTGTAAATGGTCTTGGTCCTTCAGTCAAGAGTTAAATAGAAACTATAAGGGCGACTCTATCTCCTTGTCCCAACAAATTTGGGATACTCAGTGTAACTAGCAGAGATGTATGCTCTTATCCTGCCCTTCTTGTAACTGAATGCCCCACTAATGTGCTCTAGAATTAGGACCTGTCTTACCTTTCCAGTCCACCTCTTACCCACGCCCTGACCTCACCCACACTCTGGCCTCATGACTCTCTCTGTTTTTCAGGACCCCGTGAGAAATCCCATGACCCCTTGAAGGTCCAGTTCAAATGTCATTTTCTCTTGGAAGCCTTCCACAGAGCTCTCAGGAAAAACTCAGGGCTGCCTCCTCCGAACTCTCACAGAATTATTTATGCCCATGTGATAGTACTGGTGGTCATCTGATTCATGTTATGGTTATTTGTCTATCTATTTATCTCTGTCTCCTGCCCCAATCACCCCACCGGCTTGTGAGACCCTTATAGATAGAAAGCATACCTTATTCATTGTAACATACCCCACTCACACAGTTACACGCCTGACATTTAGAAAGTGTGCTGAGTTAAATAAATGCTAAGGGGCAATTAATCAAGAGATAAATTCATTGTAATAGAAGAATAAGTCGTATTATGTCAGCCCATATAGCAAATTTTATTAGGGAGCTTTTAGTGACTTCACTTTTAACACAAAAGAGGAACTCAAATGCTAAGAATCGCAAGCATTCTAATAATGGAATTATTTAGAAGAGGTAGAATATGTTTTCTATTCCTTTTTAGCTAAAATGATTAAACTTTTTTCCGTGTTAGGCACAGAACTAGAGTTGTGTACGCATTATCTCATTTAATCCTCAGACAACCCTATAAGGTATTAATATTCCCATTTTCGAATAGGATAGTTAAGGTCTAAGTGGATTAGGTTACTTTCTCCAGGCCACAGAGTTAGTAAGTGGCAGAGGGCTGGGATTTGAAGTCAAGTTAACCTTATCTTAAGACCTGAACTTTTTATTACCATGTTGTTCTCCACCTACTTTTAGGGCCAACTCTGGTGTGTGAACTGTGAATCATAGTTTTTAATGTTTTTCTTCACCACTTTTTTGTCACTTTTACTGCGAGTTTTATTCACATAGCGTCTTTCACTTAGATATTTTATAATTCTATTTGGCAGACCCTTTATCATCTTTCTAATCATTATTATCAACATTTTAAATACTTACTTTATCCCACAGTATGCTCAAAAATACTTAGGGATGAGAAACAGGAAGACAGTCACAGAACTTGTCTAAAGTCACATTGCTAATAAGGACAAGAGCCCAGAGCGAACCCAAACCATTTGACTCTAGCACCCAGCTCTATCTGATACTTCCCTAGGGCATGTCTGCATCATTTGCAAGTCCATAGGTCAAAGAGTCTGGAACTATGCTACCCACCCAGTCAATTCCTGAGTCAGGCCAGTTGCAGTAACCAAAATCACATATGAATGCAAATGCCTTATTTTCAAGAAAACAAAATCCATGTGCTTTCCTAAATGCTGTCACTCCCAGATAACGGTGCTAAAAGCTGGCCCCAGCTGTAATTTCCCCTCACTTGCTTCCTTTAGGTGTTCTCAGTTCTATTTTATCCCTCCTTGGCATTGTCCTATATTGAACTTAATCCTTTTAGGGAAACACAGGTAAATAATCTCAAAAACATAATCATCTTCCTGGTTGGTCAGATTGTTTTTTCATTTTATTAGGAGAGAACTGTTTACCATCATGGAAGCTCCACATGTGAGATCTTGATAACATAATAAGCATTAATGTTTATTGAGTTTTTACATCATATGTGAGATGCTGTGCCAAGCTCTTCACCAAGATCCCTCATTTATCATCCCTGTATTAAATCTGTTTTGCAAGTGCAGAACTAAGCCCTGAGAGGCTGAGAACCCCGTACAAGGCCCATGGCTGGACCCCAGTTGTGTGTGACTCCAGAGCCTGGACTCTTAACCACACAACTTATTCTCAGTGTGTGCTGGTACTATTCTGGTCTCTTTTCCCCTCTCTTTAACTAAGAAAAGCTACCCAGACAGAATTATTTTTGAAAAGGAAATAGAGTACCTGATAAGGCCCAAGTCATCTCCATTCAAATCTACCATTTTCAAGACTACCATTTCCTTGTCTGTATTTGAAGAATACCTAGTCAGTAAAACAGAAAAGCACAATCAGTTCTGTGTTAGAGACTGACCCTCATGTAAGATGAACAGTAGCAGCTGACACAAAAACAAAAATGCCTCTCAGTGAGTGAGATGTCTTGACAAACAGTGGTTCTGTGAACTGCATCCAGTACCTCATTTCTCAGCTAAGGAAAGGGTATGTAATTGCGATCAAAGTTTGGGGGACTAGGGTCAAGTAACTGGAGCCGAAATACACATATTTTTATATAATATACAATATTATATAACACATAGGTATTTCTTACAAAAGAGATTTGTCTTTGAAATTTCCACTCATGTCAATTTTTAATGAAATCTCTTTAAAAGAGCAGGGAATTTGCAAAATCAAAAGCATTCAGGACCTGCAACTTAAGTGTTCTTTTACGTCCTCTCAAGGGAAATCAGATTACATTTTCTAAAAATCATCTCCTTTGAAAGCTATTGAAAAATATGCAGAAAAATGTAAAATGTCAAGTGGTCAAGTTAAAACTGTGATATTATTTTACAGTGTTACAGTAACCAAGCACTTCTCTTCTGTCACAAACCTAGTTCACCACTTTAAAAAAGACAAAAAGGCAAAATAATGCTCTCCCTTGGTTTTCCCATTCAAATATGTGGGTTTATTTCTTACTCTTCTGTCCACATTCTTTATCCTTTTGTTTTCTCTGTCTAGCCACACTCTTGTGGACTAAGATGATTTATTCTGGATAACACATAATAAAAGAGCTATTCATTAATTTAATAAATATACATTGTGCACATTTTTATCTCCATTTACTCATGAAGAAGCTGAGTGACAATAAATTAAGATAAGTAAATCACTAAAGGTCGCATAACTAGAAAGCAATAAAACTAAGCTGAGACCACAGTTGTTTCTGATTTCAAAGCCCAGAGTACTTCAAACATCCACCCTGGCTCCCATAATCAACAAAGTGGAAAGATTCCTGAATAAACTGGTGTTTGTTTCTACATCACTTTTTGTTTCTACTTGTCTTAGATTATAAAGATGTTTCTAAGACACTGTAGCTGTAATATTCTCTTAGGACCTCACCATATTCATCAAGTAACAGCCCTGTACTTAGATTTTGTTGCTGTTCCCTAAAGGGAATGAAACGATATCATTTTGAAGATTTCTCCTCACCTTGCTCTCTCTGACTGCGGATTTTGAAGGTAAGAATAGGGACTTCTGTTGATCTGCACACCATCCACATTTCCTTTATTGATGAAGATTTTACCTGGTTTCATATTTGTGTGTGCTATGTCAATGCTCTGAAGGTTAAAAAAGAGGGAGCTGTTATAAACTTAGAAATCCTGGTGGGGATAATGACTTAGTCAATACAAACAGAAGAGCCCTGTGAACAATTTCCTTTGTCTCTAATGTGTCCACATTATGGGATAAAAGTTGGAGAACCACACTGCTGTTGCCATTCTGGAGGTAAACAGAAATGGCTTTCAAGGTTAAGATAAAGGAAATGCCATGTTGTGTGGAAGCACAGTACTGATTAATGCCTGAGCTCACAAAAAGCCTCATCTGCTGGTCTCTCCAGACTGCTAAATGAAGCTCAATTTGTCACTTCAGATAGCCAAAATGCGAGACTTGACCCCTACAATACTAATACAAGTTTTGCTAACATGTGTTTCCACCTCCCTACCCTTGCCATTCTACCACCAAGGCAGAGTTGTTCAAACTTTTTTGACTGTGAACTACAGTGAGAAATACATTTTTCATCATAGCTTAATACACATCAACATATGCATCCCAAAACAAAAGTTCACAAAGCACACTATACCCTGACTGTGTGTTATACATTATATCTTACAATCTATTTTTTAGCATTTTTTTGTAATGTTTTTTTGCAACCCATACAATTGATTTCATAAGCCTTTAATACATTGCAAACCTCGGTTTGCAAAACATCATTGTAAAGCAATTTCTGCCTATGCTAGCTGGATCCCTGAATTTTGGGGGTGACACTGTAAGAAAAAAATAGAGAATAAGCCTGGAATACAATAAAATGAAGCAAAACATTAGCAAGGATCCTATGCAACAAAATAATAAGCTGGAAGACAGAAAAGAGAGGAGTATAAGCTCAAACCAGAAACAGGAGAGGAGTTTAAGGGTATTTGTCAGGAGCACCACAGAGGTCTGCATCTGTAGTAGAGAACTTGAAAAACTGGGATGTGTATTTACAAGTTGGATTATCTTTGTACTTTGGGAAATATTTTAAAATCTTAGAATTATTTGTAATTACTTTTAGCTCCTTCATGGGTTTCTCTTTGTGTGACTTTGTGCAAAGAACAGACTATGTAGTGCCCTCTACAAAGAACCCCAAACCAAAATGTTTTCTGTCTGTTTAAATAACTACATTGGGCTTACTCCCATGGAAGCCTTCTTTTCCAATCATCCATGCCTCAGCCCCAACAGCCCATAGCTCAGAACCAGAAGCTAAGAGAGAGTCAGGGAGGAGAAAGAATGGTACATGCCAATACTATGCTCAGACTCAAATCCTATAGGGACCCTTCATATCACATCCAATCACTCCTAAAATACTTATAAGCAATGGTAAAGAACAGTTGCCTCTGGGGCTCTTTGCCTACCTTCAAGATACCTGTGACCATGTGCTGAAAAGTTCGGTTGCTAAATCCTTCACTGGCAATTACAAACACAGTATACTGGAAATATCCTGCAGGACCTGAATGAGTGTGAGTGCCACTCAGGATGACATTGTCTCTTCTGTACAGGGAGCCATATTTACTCTGCAGTCTGTTCAGGACCTTCAAGAAAAAAAGTAATTGAACTAAGAAGAGGGATAACATAGGAGCTCAACATGAGAAAAGGCATTCATGAGTTCAATCACTGATCTATACCAATAACATCTGTATGAATCCATTCTCATGCTGCTAATAAAGACATACCTAAGACTGGGTAATTTGTGAAGAAAAGAGGTTTAATTGACTCACAGTTCAGCATGACTGGGGAGGCCTCAGAAAACTTATAATCATGGCAGAAGGGGAAGTAAACATGTCCTTCTTCACATGATGGCAGGAAGGAGAAGTGCAGAGTGTCAGAGGGGAAAGCCCCTTATAAAATCATCTGATCTTGTGAGAACTCACTGTCATGAGAACAGCAGCGTGGAGGTACCCACCCCCATGATTCAATTACCTCCCATGGGATCCCTCCCATGACACATGGGGATTATGGGAACTGAAACTCAAGATGTGATTTGGGTGGGGACACAGCCAAACTATATTAACATTCCTTTCAAATGGCCCCTCACTCTATGTTTGAGGATATTATCATAGTAATAACAATGAAATAATAATAACAATACTTAACATTTTACGGATTCTTGCTATGAGCAAACACAATGCTAGGTATGTTATATATAGTATGTATTTAAAAATCTTTATTACAATTTCAAGAGCTACACAGGTATTGTTAAGCCCATTTTTAGCTGAGAACATTGAATTATACAAAAGTTAAATAATTTGCCTGTTGATCTAATAAGTAGCAGAGCCAGACTCCAGACCCACATCTAACTAGAGAACTAGTACTCTTATTCATTCATCATTCAACAGGTGCTCTAAGCAAAAGAATATATGAGGTTCCTGTCTTGAAGATATTTTTATTCTAATGAAAGACAAAGACAGTAAGCAAGCAAATAAATATTAAATATTATATCATAGAGTGATAAATGCTATGAAGAAAAATATTGTTGCATAAGGAAAAAGAAACTAGTGGGTGTTAGTGAGGAAAGATCTTCTAAAGAGGGGCACTCTTTTAGCAGAGGCTTAGATGAAGAAAGCAAGCTGGCTGTGCAATATCTGGGGGAAAAGCAACTCAGGTATAGTGAGCAGAAACTGCAAAGGTTTTTAAGCTACTCTACTACCTCATTTCCCAGATGAAGAATTCAGTACACCTTGAAATGAACTCTTAGACTTGTTGGTCTAGGGGAAGCCATCCCCTATGATGCAAGGACACCCTAATAATCCTGTGGAGAGACCTAAGAGGATAGGAAGCATCCTGTCAGCACTAACTTGCTAGCCATCTGAGTGAGCAACCTTAGAAGTAATTTCTTCAGCCTTGGTCAAGCCATCAAACAACTGCGGCCCTAGCCGGCATCTGAGTGCCACATCGTGACACAGAAGTGATGATATACAACTTGTTCTAAAACAAGTCAGAATCGTCTAACCAAGCCACTCTGGGAATCCTGACACACAGAAACCTTGAACAACATGTATTATTGTTGTTTTAGGCCACTAAGTTTTTAGGCGATTTGTTGTACAGCAATAAACAACTAATACAAAGAAACTCAGTAAATGTTTAGTGAATAAGTCAATCAATGAACATCCAAATGCAAGACTAATGTCTTCATATGGTGCAGACACATCAAGAAAACACCAGAGAGAATACTGGTGATGTTGCTGAGTACCTGTTGCTGTTTATGCTTTAATAAGCTGCAATCTAAAGTTTGGTATCTTTGCGACTTTTAGTGAAAGATAATTAAAAAATGATCCAGCAGTTTGTAACACAAAGGATAAATGCTTGAAGGGATAGGTACCCCATTTTCCATGATGTGATTATTAGGCATTGAATGCCTGTATCAAAGCATTTCATGTACCCCATAAATATATGTACCACGTACACACAAACATTAATTAAAGAAAAGGAAAGATCCAACAGAAGTGTCAAACCCAAAGCAATCATTAACAATGTTTACCTTGAGGATGGCATAGACACTCTGATGAGCTGTCTCTCTGGAACATGCAATAAAATTAAAAGCCCTCATTTGCATTCTCCAATTTCTGTGGTGTAAAAACTCCTCATCATGATCAATTTCAAGCTACCAAAAGCTTAACAGCCAGCTCACAATGCTCCCGAATATTTACAAATTGGCTCTTATGAACTTGTGCAAGCTAGTTCCAGCTCACTGCTGGTAAGTGGGGAGTAGCAGCTTCTGTGCTATGTACTTAATATACATAAAGATAACCATTCAACCTCTGATCTACACCATTCTCATTCCAGTCATAACCACCTTGCCTCATTAACCTCTCCATGTCCCAAAGACTGATTGTTTGGTTACCATGTCCACATAAGCAATCCTATGATGCAAGACAAATACAGAATGGAAGTATAATCTAACTAGATTAACATCCTTCTATATTCCCTCTGTTTGATCCTAACTCCAGCCCCAATCCCTCATCACTCTCGTATATTATTCTATACTGTAACTACCACACTCATGAAGAAGAAATGTCTGTAAAGAGAAGAGAAAATGATCAACGAAGGGACACCATAGAAAGCTGAACTAAAGTCAGAAGCTGATGTTCTTAACAATTTACAGCTAAGACAGGAAGGTAGTAGAGAAAAAGAGCCACAAGTCAACTTTAAAGCTCCTTAACCCCATCCTATTTATTCCTAAAGAACTGTGACATTAGGGCTTTAGAATTAAATGCGTTTCTTCATGTCTACTCAAGTATCAAGCCCTTAAAAAGATAGAAATTATGAATCTTGAATTTTAAAACAAAAAAGACTACAAACAGTACACATGAATTTTATTTTAAACTACAATCTCTGATATGAAGCCAGACATATGGGACTTCTAGGGGGGAAAAAAAGAAAAACGTAAAACCTAGTTATATAACAATGCCAGGAAGATAGCCATTGAAAATAACATGTTTCCCAGTTCACGAAAGGAGGGCATTTTAACACAGGACAAAGCAGCTACGTTTATGTCTACAGCTCACTTCTGTCTTCAGTTTCTATTCCATTTCCTATTGCTGACAGTCTTGGGAGCATGACATAGAAAAACCTAGAAAGTCCTTCTGTTTTCCTGTCCTGCCTCACTGCACACAGATCTTCCATAATCTTCATTCTGTGCTGGAAATTTCATCTATCTTAAAGCCGAGACTGAGAACCTGCATAGAAGTAGGTGTTATAAATAATCTTAATAGCACTTAATTAGCTACATTTATTTCTCACACCTTCCCTTGGATTAATTTGGGAAAACTAAGTGAGTTCATTTAACGACCTTCCCACTGGGTCTCAGATTGCACGAGGATGTAAAAATAGGAAGAGACAGATAAATGGTGCCCACTATTGACTTGATATCCTCTACAAACAAACACATTAAACTCCTCGCCACTCTACCTGCCAAAGTCTACCTTTTGGTTCTTTCATTTCTGCTAATGACCATACTATTTCCCAATTAGAGCCATCTCATTGTTCAGAAAAGCAGTATAGTATAGTAGAAATGAGCATGAATTCTGACACCAAGATGCTTAAGTTTGAATCCTAGCTCTGATAGTTCCTAGCTGTGCAACCTTGGATAAGTTACTCAGTCCTCTGCAAACTTGGTTTCTCAATCTGTCAAATGATATAATAATAGCTCCCTCACAGAGGTTTTTGGAGGAGTAAGTACATTAATCCATACAAGGCACTGACAAGAGTTTCAGACTCAGCATGAATATTACGTTAAGTATTGGCTTTTATGTATATTCATGTCCAAATCTCACTCACATTTAATTTCTTTCTTTCTTTCCTTCTTTCTTTCTTTCTTTCTTTCTTTTCTTTCTTTCTTTCTTTCTTTCTTTTTTGAGTCAGAGTCTCATTCTGTCACCTAGGCTGGAGTAGTGCAATGGAGTGACCTTGACCTCGGCTAACTGCAACCTCCACCTCCCAAGTTCAAGCAATTCTCCTGCCTCAGCCTCCCAAGTGGCTGGGACTACGGGAACCTGCCGGCATGCCTGGATGATTTTTGTATTTTTAGTAGAGATGGGGTTTCACCATGTTTGCCAGGCTGGTCTCAAACTCCTGACCTCAAGTGATCCACCCACCTCAGCTTCCCAGAGTGCTGGGATTATAAATGTAAGCCACTGCACCCGGCCGACTCACGTTTAATTTCCTATCCCACCACCATGTAGTCTCACTGACATCACATTGGTTTAAGATCTTTGTGCCAGCCTCACATGATAAAGGGGGAAATTGTTAGGCAAAATTATAAAAAATAAAAACCCTTCCAGCAACTCCAGTTTCCCTTTCTTGTTCCTTCAGCCTTTTAACATCTTATAAAATTCCCCTGGGTGAAATACCTCTGTTTGAAATATCTAGTATGATGATTACTGTTTTCTTAACTGGACCCTCACCAATAGAGCCTCAGTATCACTTTAAAGAGTCTGCTAATTTTTGTCCTCACTTCTAGTTCCACTCTATTCCAATCCATATCAAACATCTCTACCTGCTTAATCATCCTAAAACAAAATGGTGTTTACATCACTCTGCCACTCAGAAGATTTCTCAGAGTCCATATCACCCACAGAATTAAAAACAAGCCGGCATCTCAGGCCCTCTGCAATTATGATAAACATATCTTCCAGATACGTCTCCAACTACATGCCTCCATATGTCCTAATAGATCTCCTCTGTTCCCTCATAAAAGAGTCTACATCCCTCCTTCATGCCCCTCTGTGTTCATTCTGTTTTTCCCATCAGATTTCTCTCCCTTCCCATCCTAACCATTTAAAATTCTGCTCACTCAAGTGTCATTTCTACCATGAAAATGTTTTCCTAATTTGCATTTCTTGAATCCCCATTGGTGATCTTAAAAGACCATATGTCCACAAAGTCAGATATTTTGCCCTTCAAGAAGTAAAGCTTACTTTTTCACCACTGAGTGTGAGCTGGACTTAGTGACTTGCTTAATGAATAGAACAGGGTGAAAGTAATGGTGTATAACTTCTAAACCTGGGTCATACAATGCACTGTAGCTTCCTCCTTGCTCGTTCTCTTGGGTCACTCACTCTGAGGGAATCTACCTACTGTGTCGTAAGGATAGGAAGAGTGAGGAACCGAGGCCTTTGGCCAACAGTCACATGAACAAACCATCTTGGAAGTGGACCTTCAAGCCTGGGTCAAGCCTTCAGATGACTCCTTCTTTGCCATCACCTTGATTGCCATAGAACCTAAACCAGAGCCACCTAGCCAAGATAGAATTCCTGACCCATAGATCATATGAGATAATAAATGTTTGTTATTTTAAGCCATATAGTTTAGGGTAATTTCCTACCCAGTAATAGACAATTACTATCCTACCGTACCTTCCTTTGGTTAATTATAGCTATCTGTATACTTCTGTATACCTCTATATTTCACAGTCCTTCCTTCTATCCACCAACTAGAAAATGATCTCATAAAGGAGATGAATTATGACTTACTTAGTTATGTGTCCCCTGAAGTGACACTAGCAAAGTACCTTACAAAAAGCAAGTGGTCAATGCATTTTTCCCTCTGAGAGTATAGAATAATGTCACTTTTAAGAATGTATCTACTACAAAGACACATACACACACATGTTTATTCCAGTAGTATTCACAATAGCAAAGACTTAGAACCAACCCAAATGTCCATCCATGATAGACTGGATAAAGAAAATGTGGCACATATAAACCATGGAATAGTATCCAGCCATAAAAAAGGGTGAATTCATGTCCTTCGCAGGGACACAGATGAAGCTGGAAACCATCATTCTCAGCAAACTAACACAAGAACAGAAAACCAAACACCACATGTTCTCACTCTTAAGTGGGAGGTGAACAATGAGAACACATGGACTCAGGGAGGAGAACATCACACACTGGGGCCTATCGGTGGATGGAGGGCTAGGGGAAGGATAGCGTTAGGAGAAATATCTAATGTAGATGATGGGTTGATGGGTCCAACAAACCACCATGGCACGTGTGTACCTATGTAACAAAACTCCATGTTCTGCACAAGTGCCCCAGAACTTAAAGTATAGTTAAAAATGACAAAAAAATAAAAAAAAGAATGTGGACTCAGGGATTAATCTTACCTGTGTTCAGAATCCAGCTCTACCATTTGCTAACTGTGTGAAATTTGAAAAGTTACCTATCTTCTCCAAGACTCAGTTTTCTTATCCAGAAAATGGAAATAACAACAAAGCCACCTCACTGTTTTGTGGTAAGTGCAGGAGTGGAGAAGACACTTCATCCCCTGTCCTCATGTCTCCGCAGATAGGAGAGGCTTCAACTCTCCTCCCCAAGAGGGAACAATGTTAAAGTGATGCTTTTAGGCCATCTCATCATCCCTCTCACTGGCCCCTTCACATGGCATGAGGAGAAAAGTGTTTAATAGGTGAGGCTAGCAGAACCTGACATTGCATAATGGACCTTTATGGTCATCATTCTGGTCAAAGATCCAGCGCTCCTCTTTCTCACATTCATGAATATGTGAGCAGACATTAACAAAACACATTCTCTCTTAGTGACCTGATCTCATGCAGAAAATGTAACTGTGTCAGGGCTTAGAAATTGCCTTAGAAAGATAGAATTGGAAGTTCTATCAGTTGCTTGCTTGCTTCCTCGCTTTCTCACTCTCTCTCTCCCTCTCTCCTCCTCCTCCTCCTCCTCCTCCTCCTCCTCTTCCTTTTGTATGGATTTGACCATTTCAAATCCATACAAAAACAATCAGAATACTATAATGAATCCCTATGTGCCTATTACCCAGCTTCTATAACTACTAATTCATGGTCAACCTCATTGCAATGTTGTATTTTAATTCACATCTGATTCCTCACATGTATTCTCAATTGTCTGAGAACCTGAGGAAGGGCTTAGTGATTAATTGGTACTTTCTCAACTTCTAACAAGGAGAATTAAATAAGGGAATATATATATATTAAATTAAATAAGGGAAAAAAATATATATATATATAAAAATGTAACCTGGCACATTATAAACTTTCAATAAAAACATTAGCATTAATCATGACAATGAGTCATCAGCAGAATTGAAAGCAACTTTTGACCAAGATAACTTAGACTGAAATAGTGAGGATCATTCTCCTTGTAAGATTATCTACTATATTGTCAAGAGTCTATAACATTGAAGGTAGTAGAATTTCAATGAATGAGAAACCAAGAGGAATTAGTTCCTGTCACATTCATCCACTTTTCCTTCAACCATATCATTTCTTTGTTCCTTTCTCCTCTCAAATCACTTACCTCCAGTCTGAGCCTTTGAGATACCATGCCTATGTCGATGCTGACAAACACTGTTCGATTGGACCCATCAGGTTCTGCCATGATGAAAGCACGACTGTACAGCCTGGTGAGGATGCCCTGCGCATTCTGGCCAGATTTGCTGTAGCCCATCTAAAGAGGAAGAGACAATCAGAACTGCTCTGTCTCACTCCCCTACTACTAGAAACCAGGCACAAACATACAATATAGATGACTGCAGAAAGACAAAGAAAAAACATCCACATGACATGGTGGCTCTGAGTGAGAGAATATGTGTTTTCAAAAATTAAAAAGAAAAAGGAAGAAAGAAAGCCAAAAAATATCATAAAAGAGGCTTGAATCTTCCTTATAGAAAAATGCAAAGGCAAAGAATTGATCAGGTTGGCAGAAGCTGTTCCCTGGCTTATGGGCAGGAGGGAGTTGGTGAGACTTTGGAAATGCTATTACTAACACTAACACGTGAGATCTTTCTGGCCTTTCTGGTTTGAGCAATGGCTCTTTTTCTCCTGCCTGTCTAAGATGTACAGAAAAAAATATTTCCTCTACCTCCACCCCACATTGCCCAGGAACATTTAAAAGATTGAAGGTTCTCTCATGTTGGTTGTTTAGTATACGATTTTGTTTTCTGAAGAAAATGGTATCTTCATAATTAAGTATTCTTCACAGAGGGTACCTCGCCCTGGCTTTTACCATAGTATTATTCCTGTCGTGGGTGCAACTGGCTGGTAAATTCATTTATTGCCCAAGACATGGGGTGGTAAAGAAATTTACCAAGACAGTCATAGGTAAAGAAAGGCAGATTTATTAGGGAAAGTAAGAAAATATGTTGCAAGGGTACAACAGGCAGCACAGCAGAGAAGGGGCTGTCTGCAAATATCAGGGAAAACTCCACCCCCAAAATTCAACGTGGATTATTTTCTATTTCCCTAAGCGTTGGCTGGTCTGAGAAATAAAGGGAAAGAGTACAAAAGAGAGAAATTTTAAAGCTGGGTGTCTAGGGGAGACATCACATGTTGGCAGGTTCCATGATGCTCCCTGAGCCATAAAACCAGCAAGGTTTTATTAGTGATTTTCAAAAGGGGAGGGAGTGTATGAATAGGGTGTGGGTCAAGGTAATAAAATATCACAAAGCAAATGGAGGCGGAGTGAGATCACAGGACCACAGGATGGGGCAAAATTAAAATTGCTAATGAAGTTTCAGGCACACATTATCATTGATAACATCTTATCAGGAGACAGGGTTTGAGAGCAGACAACCTGTCTGACCAAAATTTACTAGGCAGAAATTTCCTCATCCTAATAAGCCTGGGAGTGCTACAGGAGACCGGGGCTTATTTCATCCCTTCGGCTTCCACGTAAAAGACAGTTGCCCGCAAGGGGGCCATTTAGAGGCCTACCCTCAGGGATGCATTCTCTTTCTCAGGGATGTTTCTAACTGAGAAAAAGAATTCAGCAATATTTCTCCTATTTGCTTTTGAAAGAAGAGAAATATGGCTCTGTTCCACTTGGCTCACCGGCAGTCAGAGTTTAAGGTTATATCTCTTGTTCCCTGAACATTGCTGTCATCCTGTTCCTCTTTCAAGGTGCCCAGATTTCATATTGTTCAAACACACATGCTCCACAAACAATTTGTGCAGTTAATGCAATCATCACAGGGTCCTGAGGTGACATACATCCTCCTCAGCTTACAAAGATGATGGGATTAAGAGATAAAAGTAAAGACAGGCATAGGAAATCACAAGGGTATTGATTGGGGAAGTGGTAAGTGTCCATGAAATCTTCACAGTTTATGTTCAGAGACTGCAGTAAAGACAGGTGTAAGGAATTATAAAGGTACTAATTTGGGGAACTAATAAATGTCCATGAAATCTTCACAATTTATGTTCTTCTGCCATGACTTCAGTCGGTCCCTCCATCCCTGACTTCCCGCAACACGCAAAGAAGCAGGGGCTGGAGGGAAGTTTTATAGGGTCATGCTGGAGTGGGACATATGCAGAACGAGGTTGGGCTGCTGGGGCTACATGCAGAGTGAGGTATTTGGGAACAGGATGTTGTGGCAGCAGGTTATCTATGATTAGCCATCTCTCAGAACAATTGTTCTCCCCACCGCTGGGGCCCCTGACTTATTAGGACTCTACAACTCTCTAAGCCAAATCAGATCACATACACCTATCCCAAGTCACTTCTCTCACTGTGTCATAAAATTTACCCGTAAAACTATACCCAGGTCTTCAGAATTTTTTCTACTGTTTGCTTTACCCCTCCTGGGAGTGTTTATTTAGGGGTCACATTCCAGGATCACTTTTCAGAACATACAGTTGAGAATCATACCTGGAATGTAAAGATTACTTAGAGGGAGGGAGTGAATCCCATTAGACAATTTCATGCTCTGGTTTCCTAGGGAAGCACTGACATAAATGGGTATTTCCATCACATAGACAAGACTAGCAGTCAATAGGCCACACCTGACACATAGAAGTTTTATTTGCTTTCACATATTGGTGCAACCTAGGTTTCCAGTTTTAGCTAGAGTTGCCTTTATTTTTCAAGTAAGATATTTGAAACTTCAACTCTTTAATCTAGGGATTTTGGGGCTTCTTCTAAAATACTGCAAGATAGGGCAGCCCTGAGCCCCCATTCTTATATGGCAACAATCAGCTAAATCCATATACTTTCTTTGTGCTTTTTTTTCCCTCAAAGTCCCCACCATTTCCTACTGCCTCCCACTCCCAAACTGAGGATTCACTAGACATTTATTATGTTACACTGGCCTGGTGATGTCATTTATGGTGCCGGCTCACCCCCTGTCATATTTGAGTTTGCCATCTCTGCCACTTCTGCTCATAAAAAAAAAAGAAAAAAGTCCAATGGACTTTACAGGGGAGTTATGATTGAATAAAAGTTTTCCTCTTCTTTCTAGTATGAAATTCATAGTGCTAGACAGCAGCAAGGTCAATTAAAAAGCTAGAAGAAAATAATGATGATGTTGTAATAATCAGAAATGAATGCAGTTTGTAAAATAATAAAATTGGTTGTTTCACAGTCTCCTTAAGGAGCCCATTGCCTACTTACCAAATTGATATCTGCTACTTGTCCTGTGCAGTCAGCTCGTCCAACACCAATATAATAGCCACTGAAGTTCTGAAATAGAGGCGGCTCTGGGGTTGAAGTCACTGGAGAAGTTTGAGTGGCTGTGGAGCTCTGGGTGGCTGTGGAGCGCTGGGTGGCTGTGGAACTCTGAGTGGCTGTGGAGCCCTGGGTGGCTGGAGGGTTTGGGGTGGTTGAAAACAAATGGCCTCCTGAATCTAAAACAGAATAAGAGATTTGAGAACCAACATTTCAGCCCTCTTATTTGTCAACATCAATTAGAATACAACATATAGGCTCAGGTTCATAAGGAAAACTCTGTATATATTTTCTTATACATAAAAATATATAGAGAGAAACATCTCAGGAATCTGTTTAAAAATCATAATCCTAAACAGGATCTTTTTCTTGGATGAGAGATGTTTCAGACTAATGATCAAGGCCTCTGTCAAATGTCCTTCAACTCCTCATCACGAGCCATTCCTTGTCAAACTCACTGCCTTTACTCAACACCCTGTTCTTCTTTTCCAGCTAAACTAAACAGGTGCCAGGTTTACTGAATCCAACATCTGGGGATTGGTTTCTTCCATTCTTTCTATCCAGACTCCTCACTCCTTTCCTCTCCACCTACCAAACTCCACCACCTGCTTCAGAGTTAGTCCATTTCCATCACACCTAGATCCGACTCAACTCCTCACCTGCAGGATGCCACCCTGCTGGCTCTACCTTGGCTCTGATCTTCTTTGACCTTCTAAGGACTCATTTTTAATGCCACCTAGATCACTGTATACATGTTGATATAATTTCATCTTAATTATTCTAATATTTATATATTCATATCTATATGTGTGTGTTTATACACATATATTCTATATTAATTTATGCATATATATTTATTATACACACACATACAAATATCAAGGGAAGCAGAATGACATACAGGATTTTTGTGAGAAGACAGTTGCCAGAAACAAACTGCCTGGTTTGAAACCTGAATCTACCACCTACTAAGTGATCAAATTCCCTAACCTATTTCACCTATTTATTCTTGTCTATAAATAGGTGAAATAGGTTAGGGAATAAAGAATAACCTATTTATTCTTGTCTATAAAATGGAGATTATAATAATATCTTGCTTTCTGGGGTTGTTTTGAACAATAACTATGTTCACTAATATTATAAACTGGGAACAATGGCTAATATGTAGCTTTGATTTTCTTTACCTATTTAAACATTTTATATATTCATTATTTTGTTTATTTCCATTCCCCAGACAAGAGTCAGGAGTTGCCAAGGCATCAAATATCAGTGTCACAAGGCATTTGTGGTCAGAAAGTACTTAGGCAAGAGATTTATAGCTGATTCCTTCTGAAATCCTAGAAATTCAGAGCTCAAAAAACTTAGAGATCACCTAACATAATCTCCTCAGTTTTACAGATGAGAAAACTGAAAATCAGAAAATTGACTTAACCAATAGTTAATGGAGAGCATGTGATGATTCTGGTGTGCAATCCAGATCCTCAAACTCAGAATCTGATGCTCTTTCGACCAAATTCTAGATGGAGTGAGAATCCACGTCTTCTCATTCCCAAGCCAAGATTTTCTTCAAGACATCAAGTATTGCAAGGAGTGGAGCAGGCATCTTCGCTATTGCTTCACTGCTACCAGCATAGGAATGTCATGCCAACTAAAGCCAAACCTAACACATAGCCAAGGGTATGTTATTTGCAATCTCAGGGTCTCCGTTTCCCCAAGTGTAAAATGAAACTAATGTAAACAGTAGGGCTAGCATCAACCCTTATAGGATTTTTGTGATAATTCGATGAGAAAATATTCTAGAATCCTCACTATAGTGCTCAACACAGAAAACATTTAATAAACAGTAACTACTGCTATAAGAATAGTTACTATAATTATTAATAACTTCCCTGAGTCTCAGCCTCCTGATTTCCTAATTTTAAGAGGTAAAATTGAATAATTCCTTTTCTTTTTTTTTTTTTTTAATGGAGTCTTGCTCTGTCACCCAGACTGGAGTGCAGTAGTGTGATCTTGGCTCACTGCAACCTCTGACCCCTGGGTTCAAGTGATTCTCCTGCCTTGCCTCAGCCTCCCGAGTAGCTGGGATTACAGGTGGGCACCACCATGCCCAGCTTTTTTTTTTTTTTTTTTTTTAGCAGAGACAGGGTTTTGCCACATTGGCCAACCTGGTCTTGAACTCTTGACCTCAGGTGATTCGCCCACTTTGGCCCCTCAAAGTGCTGGCATTATAGGTGTGAGCCACTAATGATCCTTTCACTTCTATCAGTCTCTGACCCTGCTGTGCCTAATGCTGGATCAGAGGATCTCTTATCCTCTGTGTTTGCCAGGAATTCAAAGCCCTGGGACATGGTAGAGAATATGCAGGAAAAGAGGCTACAAAAGGGAAAACTGAGGTAGAAAATACCATCTTCTCCATTTGGCCTAAGGCCAGCCCTGTCTTTACTTTGGTCAGAGCTTCAATCTTCACCTGTCTTCTCTACTCATTTAACAGTTATGTAACCTAATACTGACTGAAACAGAGGCTCCACCAAGACTCACTGCCAATCTTGTGTGTAAGTGTAGCTTACATTGTTCTCAAAAACTTAGTTTCCAACATTGAAAAGAAAATCATGAGATATCTAAAAATTCTAATTTCCAGCTTCTCTGGAAAACTCAGGAGATCTGAGATCATGTGCTCTCTCTACAACAAACAGCTGCACCTGGGAGTGGCTGTAGGCCTTCTTCACCAGAATTGCACCTGCCTCCTCCTCGGTCCACCTCCTCACTCTACCTCATTTGCAAAACTTGATTAGCCCTTGTAAGGATTTATGTTTGAGACCCCATTCTCTAAGGCTCGTTACAGACTAACTGACGTTCATTCAGTGAGTTTTTCATTCTCCTTTTGCCCCCAGGAGAAGATGATGTCTACAAGGAGGCAAAGAGAAAGATTAGAGGCTCAGGGCAAAAGCTGCCATTACCAGACCTTGACAAATCTTGAGCTGTGCTTATATCAATGGAAAAACGAATGGCAAACACGTACATGTCAGAATGCCTGTCAGCTGGCTATTGGGGACAAAGGTAAACTTGATAAAAACTGCTATCAATGCGAAAGGGCAATTAATGCAAAGGGAAATGGCTATTCCAGGCTGCTTAAGTACACGTAGAACTATCAGCAGACACTGTTTTTCTCTTTGGTGTCCACAGTAATCAAGAAGTTTCCTACAGGCCTAAAAATTGCATCTAAGAGAGCCCATGACACTTGCCTTTGTGGTTTTCAATTGTCCCACTGGTGATAAACAAGAGGCTGAGAAGGGCCACTGTGATGGCAGTCATCATTACAAGGAGGAAAATCAGGAATGTCTCCAAGTTAGAGAAGGTGCGTTTGGCCATTTCTTCTCAGGTACAGCAGAGATGGAGGAAGAAATATTGAAGAGGAAGAAATCACAAATTAAAATGCAAAAGCTGTAAGCCAACTTAAGATATCTTTTTTTTTTTTTTGGAGACAGAGTCTCGCTTTGTCGCCCAGGTTGGAGTGCAGTGGCGCGATCTCGGCTCACTGCAAGCTCCGCCCCCCGGGTTCACGCCATTCTCCTGCCTCAGCCTCCCGAGTAGCTGGGACTACAGGCGCAGCCACCTCGCCCGGCTAGTTTTTTGTATTTTTTAGTAGAGAGAAGTTAAGATATCTTAACTCTTTCATATTAATGGACTATACCAAGGATGACAGGTACAGAGCACTTACCACTCATTCCATAGACCAAGCCCATGGCAGACAAGACCAATCAATTACAGCATTCTTTCTGAAAAGCTCGAATGTGGTTTCCAAATCTTTCTCAATACAACACTCCTCCTGGCAGCAACCATTCATGATTTAGCATTGGCCACTGAGCTAAAATCTACTTGCATTCCTCAGCCATATCACACTGCTTTCATTTACGGTGATGATGCTGTTTATGGATCTGTACATGGGTCTGGGCTGAGAGTGCCCTTGTTGACAAGGATGACTGATGCACACATACTTCTTGTATTTGGGAGAAGGCTGGCGGGGGTTAGGAAAGTATTCTGAGGTCATGGACTTAGTAGAATTATCTTGTTCACCTGGAAATGAAGCCCGTAACTTTGGCCTTTACACTCTATGTTTTAACTTTCAATTACTATCTGGTGAGAAATGGGCATGGAAAAGGGAATTAGCATCTCTGGTCTGAAGGCAGGCATTACAAAACACATCCCCCTTGAGTGATCAGAAGGATCCCAAACATTTTGCAAACCTTGCATCAAAGGACGATAATTTAAAATGCTCCTATGTTCTACAAAAGTATCAAATGTCATTACAGATTCCTTAAGATGTTTTAAGGGAGGGAGAATTAATCATTACTCAGAGGAACTATACAAGTTAAAACCCCATAAAATGTAATAAGAAGAAGAATAATATGGTGGTTAAATATTTAGTTCTGAAATCTGACTCCAGCGGTCAAATTTCATTTCTGCCACTTACTGGGTGACTTTGGGAAATCCTCCCCCAATACTGAACGTCAGCTTACCCATCTGTAAATAGGAATATGATTATGATCATCTTATCTCAAAGTTCTTGTAAAACCTATCTCATAAATTTCTTATAAAAATAAGATGAGATGAAGCAACAACACTTCTTTTGTTCAATAAATGCTCAAACTGGTAGCATGTATTAATAGATTCCAAAGTAGCAAAGAGTCTGTGCTCTTCCCTGTCCTTTAAGGGAATTTACAGGAGGCTAGTGTTAAAGGATGATTGAAATCACAGGTGGGACCTTCAGAGCTCATTTTCTTAACCTGTGCTTTAGGAAGCCTGAGAGGTTAAATGGCATTGGAATCCCAGGATTTGCCCCCAAAATAGGGAATTTGTGGCTAAGATGCTGCTACCCCCAAGAGTTAAAAAATGGCAACAATGTAGATATATTTAGTACGGTCCATTTCTTATTCAATTTGACTTAGGTAAGAAGATTTAAAAAATAGCATTTAGAGTTTATAAAGAGTTTACATTTACCATCCTGAAATTTCAAATTATCTCTCAAAATAATTCATAAAATATAGTGACACTGAGCCAGCATTCACATGTGCCAAGAGTTTCTTAAAACTCAGTGCTGCTGTTCTCTTTAGATATGGGGATATATTTTTCAATCTGCCAGTCTCTATCCAGTCTTATTTATCTAAGTTACTGCCTGGTCTGTGCAAGCATTTGATTTTGCAATTCCTGGGCTAGAGGTGACAGAACAGTTCTAACAGCAGACACTTCGGAGAGTAGGCTGAACTGGGAGTGAGCAAAAAGACTGGAACATCTTCCCAAATCTTCTGGTTATTCGGAAGATTTCCTCATCCACTTATCACCACCATAATCCCCTTACCCACCAGCAGCAGGGACAACTTCAAATGTGGAGCAAAACAAATCAGTTCTGTGACTTATGACCGACTTCTATTGTCAGTTCCCAGGAGTCAGGAAACACATCTAAGATATGCCTCTGAACTCTAAGGATCTACAGAGAATTACTGCTCACTAGCAGCTCTTCCGCTAGAAAACTTCAAACCCAGTATCTCTAGTTCTTGCTCAGAGCTTTGGTTCTCTAAGCCTTCCTACTAGCCAAGATGACTGACAGTTGGATCTCCCAACCCCACAGCATGGACAGGCAGATTGTGTATGTAAATGTGGTCATGTAGCGGAAGGCTGTGTATCAAACAGAGAGGGTACAAAATAATACTTCTTTTTTGTTTCTAGTTTTGCGTTGGTGAGCTGAAGACATTTTATACCACTCAACAATGGCACTTGATTTAACATTAGCTTTTCCACATATTACGTGGACTTGAATGATCTACCTCACGTGTTTCACCATTCTGTTTAGCTGCCACAATTGTTGCCAACACAGTAACATTCTTTTTGAACCACTTTAGCTGACTTGACCACCACCTTTAAGGAAATTAAAACTTGGGTTAGCACTATTTATTTCTCATTGGTGACTAAAATCTGAATTTGAATGTTAAAGCAGATGCCTTCCCCGCCTTTAGAATGCAAACACACCTTGGTAGAGCTAAGCCAATAAATATATCTTAAAGGATTATAGATTTTATAATGGTTCACATTTAATCTGTAATAATCCTGAAAACTCAATAATGAGGCTCTAATGGCACAATAGCAAGCCATTTGCCACACCTTCACAGAACAGGGTCCCTGTTTTTCAAGGAGAGACTAAAGGGTAACAATTTGGCAAAAGAAGATTCCAAAGCTATGAGATAAATTGAAGCTTTAGGGTCTCTTCAAGATCTCTGAGACAATAGGATAATTCAATAGCCCTCCTTCCCTCCTTCTCCAAGAAAACATAGCCATCCTTACCTGATTCTAGTACTCAAAAGAGCTTTCACATCCCAGTGAAGCAAATGGCCATCCAGAATCGTGTCCGCTTTCCCCTTGCACGTTGCTGGGTTTATATTTCCCAGCACTTTCTGAAACCTACTGAGAAAAAATTTTCAGTCAAGTCCAGGAGTGTTAGAGCTCTCATTAGCATACCTTTGTGGGCTTGGTACAGGTATGAGATTAAAGAGTATTGATAACAAAAGGCTTATACACGAACTCTCTCTTAGGGCAGCCTGTTATCAGAGGTAGAAGTTGCAGAAGGCCTGCTGGACTGAAGGTCGTTTCACTTTTTCTGTAACTTTTCCAGCATGACAAGTTCTGCGCAAAGCTTATAACCTGAATCACACACACACACACACAAAAATGCATCTACTTCATTTACCACTGGTCGTTCTACAGCAAAGAGCGTAGTAATATATGCTGGACATCAGTGTGGGCTGTGGATAGCAATAGGCAATATTTTCACCAATTTCAGAACAGAAAACTAATCTTAATTTTTATGAGTGCTCATAAAAAGAATTCTAAATTTTAGATTTGCTAAATGTGAGTAGTAAATAATGCAGCAAGACTGCTATGCAACCATTAAAAATCATACTGAAAATAATTTAATGACATGCAAAAATTGCCAAATATTAAGTAATTTTAAGTTTACAAAACAATATGATCCCATTTGTAAAGTAAACATTATTTTTACTTTATATACATTATAAACTTTATATATGTTATATATTAAAGACTGTAAGTACAGGAAAATGGTAAGAAGTAATTATCTGGTGATTATGGGTGGTTTTGTTTTCATCGTTTTGTCTCTTAGTATTTCCTATCATACAAATGCATCACTTTCAAAATGGGGAAATAAAATGTTTTTCTTCCTCTTGGAGAATATAGACTACAGCACAAAGTTAAACAATGGGCCACGGAGACAAAGAAAGCAATAAAGAAACCAACCAACCCATTCCCTTTTTTTCCCTAGTAAAATCTAAGCTGTCTAGGACACATTTTAAAGAAGGCCACAAAGGCCGCTTAATTCCTTGCAGAGTTTGATCAGAGACAGGCCTGCAAAATTCCAACTGAAGTATTAAAGACACAAGTTCCTTCAGATAGGGCATTTAGTAATGCATCTTAAATTTCTCTCTGCTACTACAGAGGGGGAAAGATTAAATCATGATATTAAACAAGGTTTTTTTAGTGCAGTTATGTAGAATTATTGGTTACAAGCAAACACCAAATGTAGTTAATGTAGGACAAGAGGGGGAAAAGAGGAAAAGTAAATTCACTGGAAGACAGCAAGAAAAGCTGCAGACTCAGGCTCAGGATGGCCAGGAATCAGAGCATCTCTGCAGATCTAGGTAGCAGGAGCTATCAAACAATCTCTTCAGGGCATTACCACTGAGATGGATGGACTCCAACTACTTTAGGTCTTGTGTTGCTCCACTCAGGAGCCAATTTCTGAAAGACAGCTATATAATACCTTTATCCTTTCATTTGAGGGGATACTTAACTGGGAATCTTAAAAAACATTCACAAAGAGAGAAGAGTAGTTCTCCAAAATAAAATCAAGGTGCTGTATAACTTATGAGCCAGTAAAAACAACAAATACCCACTAGTGACTTTCCATGAGATTTCCTCCTCCCACCTTTCTCCCTTGCAGTGGGGAGGCCTCTTGACTGCCCCTGTGGTCTCCTCCAGACTTCCCCAGCCATCTTCCTCATCATAAAAAGGAGCCATGCTATGGCCCATTCAGACTCCTGCTCAGTGACTCACAATCTAGACAGATGAGATTATTTTAACCAGGGTTTTGGTAGACAACAATGGCATAACATGTCACCTTTCCTAGACTACATTTGAGGGTCCATATCTGAACAATAATGGAGTGAGAACTGAGAAGATTCCAAGCGCTCTGGAGGGCCAGTGGAGAAAAGATGTTGGACCCCGGGGACTCATAATGTCCATCAAAACAACTGACTCCTACAGACAGGAACAAGACTCAAGACTCCCCTGGGGTGAGATGAAGATATGGTCACTGTAAATATTTAACTTGTGCACACATTTTATTTCTGTCTGGAATGATCCTCTCATGAATCCAATTAGCTAGGATAAGCTAACTGTTCTTCTCTATACTATACCCCCCCCAAAATTCACTCATGTACACATACTGTACCCATTTTGCAGAGGAGGAAACAGACATCAATTTTCAGAACACATAAAGGTGGTTAAAAGTGAGCATGATTCAGCAATGGTATTGAAGGATATAAATCCAAGTCTCTAGACTCCTAGACAAGAGCTTTTGCCTCTCACCAAATTCTAATTGTCTTCATTACCTTGACCTGAACCTTGGCACGGCGACTCTGGGGATATAAAAGTCTATGTGTTCACTCCTTACTAGCAATTGATGAAGCAAAGCTATGTCCTCTGTCTCTTAACACCCCATTACAGGAGAAAAACTAATGAGCACAAAGTAAAGGCAGCTGATGAATAATTGTATTCAAGCTGGAAGAATATTTCTCCCAAAACCCTAACTCCTAAATCATTAAGCAATAATCACTAGCATCACAATTTTTCTTAATATTTTACTTATGGAGTCTTAGAAGGCATGGTGCTAATTTCATATACTTCGTGTTAAGGGTCATATTCTTTCATTCTTTAACTCTTAGAGTAATTAAAGATTAAATTACTTCTGGCTGGGTGCGGTGGCTCACACCTGTAATCCCAGCACTTTGGGAGGCTGAGACGGGCGGATCACAAGGTCAGGAGATCAAGACCATCCTGGCTAACACGGTGAAACCCCGATTCTACTAAAAATACAAAAAATTAGCTGAGTGTGGTGGTAAGCATCTGTAATGCCACCTACTCGGGAGGCTGAGGCAGGAGAATCACTAGAACCCAGGAGGTGGAGGTCGCAGTGAGCCAAGATCGCACCACTGCACTCCAGCCTGGGATACAGAGTGATATTCTGTCCAAAAAAAAAAAAAAAAAACTTCTAGAAAAAATACATTATTATATATAGCATCCAGACTGTCATCTTTAAGTAACATTTCTTGCTGAAAGGAACTGGAAATCCTTGGAGAAACGGCTGGTTCTGGGTCTGAGGCAGGAATTATAGAACTAAGCTGGGAATATTTTATTATACTAGAAATCAAAAAAGTCATCAAAATTATGAAGACAGTATCTAAAGAACTAGAGAGCTTCCCACTAACTAAAGATTAGTTAACTTGAGCATCAATTTAAAAAATAACTTCAATGGGTTGAAGCAAATCAAATATGCTTAAATCCATGATGTCATAGTGATACTTTTTAAAAGATGCTAAGGAACCAATTTGTTATTCTGAAAATTGGTTTAAAAAAAGGACAGGAGTAGGAATCAAGAAGTCAAGGATGTACTCTGCTTTTCCTGCATACATGTACAGCAGGAAAGTCAAATAGTTGATGAGGGACAGTTTCTCATGATCCAAGTATTCCAACTAATAAATGAGGAAGGAATGACAAAATGGAATCTAAATATTTTGCAATCCCTAATGAAATGATGGATCTAGACAAAGATCATCAATAGCTGATTAAGTCACCAATAGAGAAAAAGAGAGACAACAAGATACTCAACCACGTACACAACTGCATACTGCAACCTCTGAACCACATACACAACATTCTCAATGTTACCAAAAAGCGAAACCTAAATTGGATCAGCCTCTAGATCTAAGTGCCTGTTCATAGGAAATACAAAAGACAATTGAATATGTATGTTAAGGATGACATGGGGATACAGGAAGCGAAATTTAGACTGTGAGATAGTAAAACCAATGATCCAGTTTGTTTAAAAAATGTGTTAGAACTGAAAAGAAAGGAAGAAGTAGGAAGGGGAGGTGGGGAGGGGGAGGTGGTGAGGGGGAGACAAGAACAAGAGCAAGAATGGGTTGGGGAGGGGAGAGAAGGGCAGAAGCAAAGGACAGGGAGAATGGCCAGGGAAAGGGAGGGGAGAAGAGAACAGCTGGGGCAGAGGAAAGGAAAGGAGAGAAGAGGCTGCAGATTAAAAGACACTTAAGAGACAGGTCAATCCACTGTATGTTGTAGGCTCAGAACCAACATTATTTGGAAACTGATTCAAACAAAAACAAAAAAATTATGAAACGGGGGACATTTTAACACTGACTAGGTACATAACAATGTTCAGGGATTGTTTAAAATATAATAATGGTACTGTGATTATACTTTTTAAAGAAATTTTTGTGTTTTAGAGACACAATCTGAAACACAGATTAATAAAAAGAAATGATGTATTGATAAAAAGTGCAAAAGTCAAATGGACAGATGGATGGACAGATGGATGGATGGATGGTTGGACAGCTAGCAGAACAGATGGGAGGACAGATGGATGGACATAAGCTTTGTTCTTGAAAATGCCAGTTGACGGGAGATAGGTAGGTAAGGAGCACTATGGCAGATACTGCAGAACGCTCCACTCAACACCCATTCCAAATTCTAGTGTACAGAGAAGCTGGACCCCCATTTGTCTAGAGTTCCAGATCGACTTTAGGTTCTGCCTTTCAGACGCATTGGCGTGAGACTTTGATTCAGAACTGAGCCAGTGGGACAGTGAAACAGGGCATGGACCATCCATTTTCATGGTTTGGATCATGGCAGCACGGCCCTGAGCTGGTGGTTTGGTGGCTATTTCCAGATGCCGCAGCCTGCTTCCTTACTGCGTGAACATGGTCAAGGTAGCCCACCACTAAGAAGCTCAATTCTGCAGTTTAAGCTGGGGAGTTGTTCCTGAGGGCTCAGCTTCAACTCTCTGTCTTCAGCCTTCACAATAATACTGCAAGTTATCTCAATCCTTTAATAAATCCTTTTCTTTTTAAGTTCCCTGGAGTGGATTCTGTTATCTCCAACTAAGAACATGGCCAAGCTAAATCTCACAGAAGTGAGTGTTGGACCTCTCTGTAAAGAATGCATGCATTCTAATCAACTGGACCCTGTGTACACCACGTTGCCTCTGAGAACGTTTTTAAAGTTAAAAGTAGTGAGCAGTCTGTCACAATGCATTTTTATTGGGTCCCAAAAGAAA